CCACTCCAAGCACCTACCTACCGAGCCTCTCGAAGCACCTACCGACCGAGCGACTCGAAGCACCTACCGATCGAGCCACTCCAAGCACCTACTGAACGAGCCGCTCCAACCACCTACCGATCGAGCCGCTCTAACCACCTACGCACTGAGCCACCCCATGGCTCGGTGGGAGGTGGTTGGAGCAGTTCGTTCCGTAGGTGGTTGGAGTGGCTCGGTCAGTAGGTGCTTGGAGTGGCTCGGTCGGTAAGTGTTTCGAGTGGCTCGGTCGGTAGGTACTTGGACTGTCTCAGCTGGTAGATGCTTGGAGTGGCTCGGTCGGTAGGTGCTTGGAGTGAATCGGTGGGTAGGTGCTTGAAGTGGCTTGGTTTGTAGGTGCTTGAAGTGGCTTGGTTTGTAGGTGCTTGGAGTAGCTCTGCCGGTAGGTGCTTGGAGTGGCTCGGTCCGTAGGTGCTTGGGGTGGCTCAATCAAGGCCGTCCTGTCCAGAATTAGCCTAGTACCTTTCTTTTTCTTTTTTTTGGGAAAGCTTGTAATTATATTGTGCAAAAAAACGATGGGACGAGGCCGGTGACCTCACAATTCGACCCGGAGTTATCCTGGCAGCCTCAGCCAGTTTCGCTTACGAGCAAAGCTCGGTATCCAACCAAGTGTTCAAAATATATCGTCAATCCTGCTGGAAACCGGGTCCAGCGTCCCACCCTAGTCAAACACTTTCCAAAAAGTAAACTTGAAGCACAGAGTAAAAAAAAGGGGGAGCTATCCGACAGAAGTTTGGCTCTTCAACAATTACACTGTCTACTGTGCAAGGAAGCGGACCCATCAGAATCAGCTAATGACCGAGTCCAATATCCCCCCTCAAGATCAAGTGAACGCATCCAAAAGTATACCACTTGTAGCAAGAGGATTAATCCAGCCTATGCAGGCGGCCAGAGATTGAAACCGCCATCTTGAATTATAATAGTCTATGTTCGACAAAACCCTTATGGACAAAACCAGACGACAAATTTTTGACTATATCAAATAACCTGGAGAAAGTCCCGAAAAGGGTTCCCCCCAACAGGAAGATATGTGCCACCTAAGGAGGGCAAGACCAACACAGCCTCATCAAAATAGCAAGTTGTTCGTGCGGAACCTGGGTTGCCATGACTAGGTTTCTCACCTTGCACCCTTGGACCTCTGTGGGAATTGCCATCTTCCAGGCACCCTGGATCTCAATGGGTGCAACCCAAGCTTGCTCCCTTGACGGTTAAACACTATTCAGTCGTACCCTCGTAGATCTGCAGCGTTGCCACAACTACTAGTAGGTCTCCCACTACCTCCAGTAGTTCCGTTGCCTTCTACCGACAATCATCCCCAATCGTTACCAGATACCAACCAAAGGGAAAGCCCAATCGACTAAACCAAAGCACAAGATTTCAAAATTAGACCCAGTAGCCTGGTAGATTACAAAACAGGAAAACCAGGCCCCTATCGTGAAAAGAGAGCAGCACCAATACCTAGTGGGTGAGCAACCTTCCCGCAACTACTAATCTATCTCCCACTTCTTCAGTAGTTCCATTGTTTTCCACTGCCAACATTGCAATTTGTCACTATCGATCATAGAGAGAGTCTCCCCTATCGATATTCCGTTCAATCCGTTGTTTGACCCAAATCGGCTCTTAATCTCTATTATATACCGAGAAGAAACATGTTACCAATGAACGACAGATCCTGGTGAACTCACTAGGCCAAATGAAAACACTAGGGCTAATGAAATCTGAGGAGGGGAAGTCACAAGACTTTATGAATCTCCCCTACAATAGTGGCTAGGTGCCTGGTATGTTCTTAGACAGTAGATCAAGGCACATCAAGACTGACCAGAAGATTTGTACCTAGATACTTTCAACATCCAACCAATCAAATTTTGCAGCGTGAATCCAACCTATGGGATTCGCTAGGTACAGGATGGAAAGGGGCGAGTGTGACCCAAATCCGCTTCAAATACCGTGAGAATTGTGAGTCCTACAGTATTGAATACGAAACCACTAGGGCGAAGTGAACCAACCAACGTGGAAGGGAGCAACGAAAGACTTTATGAAATCACGTGAGGTAATTCACAAAAATAAGTGAATCTACCCTAAAATCGTGCATAGGTGCCTTGTAACTCCAACAAAATCCAAAACGAGACACAAACAGGGCGAAACCATCCCACGACGGTGGAAAGCGGAGCAATGAACCACAAAACGATCCAACCGCAGTGGAAATTCCACAAAGTACCATCGACTGTGAGAGACACCCAAATGGTAAGCAACGCCAAAACTTAGAACATGGAGTAAAGACAAACAAGTAGCCTAAGCGTGGAGATCACACTTGAAATCCAAGTGTATACTCAAGTAGGAACTAGGGGACCGTGAGAACTATCCAATATGCATTCTCTTCCAATTATAAATCTCCTACACCTCTTGATTACCCTCCTCATCCCAGTAGAATGTAGTTGTAGGCAGATACGAACCCATTAAAATTTCAAACATGAATATAATAGAAGCCTGTACCTGTCCCACGAGTGGCTCCAAGTACAGATACAGAAGAGTTTAAAATGGCGAGTAACAAGGTAAAAATTGTTGGCGAGTGCCCTCTCCGAATATTCAGCGATCTGTGAATAAGCACTGTCACAGTGGTCGATTCTAGTCTGCAGTGAGTTTTAGCTCCGGCTCCAGGTTGTCAATTATCTCCCATGCAGCTGTTCCTGATACATCTTTCAGAGCGTTTGACCACCGGTTCGAAAAATAGAGAGATCTGACCCAGGGTGGTGAATGAAGCGTGTAAAATATGGCTGGATGCAAAATATAGCACCATGCCTCCTTGAAAAAGTCGACAGCACTCCCACCCCCATCACGAGCTCTCCCACTGCTCCTGTTGACGCTGCTGCCACGATTCCTCCCCGGAAGTGTCGACAGCACTCCCACCGCCATCACGAGCTCTCCCACTGCTCCTGCTGACGCTGCTGCCAACCTTCATGTGATAGAACCCAATCTTGGGTAGGCACGTACTGCCAACGAGACGTTTCATCTTCTAAGCTCATAGCAGTCTTTCCGGCTGACTGCATCCCCCTGCCCCAGGATCTTCTCCAGGGGAAACGCAGTACTAAGCATACCAGGCGGAGGCAGAGATACTTCCACAGAATTCCACATATGTGTTCCATAGCTCTTAGCTCTCGCGTCGGCGGCCACCGGCTGCTAACTCCCGAGGTATTACCTCGTCCGACATCAAATCCCCTGCGTTAGCGCCGCCCTAGCGCATATTAGCGCTACCCAACCGACGCGGCCGTACCTTTCCCGCGTGGGAAAATAGGGAAAACTGGCTGTTTTCCCTTTCCCAATCGCCTGAATTTTCGGAGGTCGGGCCCAACGACGACTGCCATTGATAAATCTGATCGGCGGCCGTCGTTTCGTTTCGGCCGCTGCAAAGGTCGGACGGGTACCCGAGGCCCGCTATTTTCCCAAGCGGCAAAGGTACTAGTGGTAAAAGAAATAAAAAAATAATAATAAAAAAAAGGAAGCAGCATTAGACAAGACGCACGACGGGCGCCGATGCCGACGAATATCTCGAACCGCCGGCCGTTGGATAACAGTGAAGTGCCGTTTGTCGTTTCCTTTGTTCTCCCTTCTTCCAGCCTAAAATAAAAAATAAAAATAAAAATAAAAGCTGGGCGCGTTTTGTCGTTGTCGTTTGTGCAAGTCCCTGCTCGTTTTGTCGGATAGCAACTTGAATGCGTTTGCTACCGTAGTCTCTGCTTTCCAGCGAGCGACTTGCAACCGCGACCAGCTTCCATGAAGGCTCGGCCCGACATGCACAAAAGACAGAAAATATCGAGGTGTATCTTTCCATGTTCAAGCGGAAGGTTCATTCTCATTTTGCATTTGCTATATGTGCAATGTGGTGAGTAGTGGAGTGAGGCCCAAAGCGCTTGCAAGTCGCTGCTTTCGACAGGTAATTGACGTGATTGGAATAGCCTTCTCTCTCTTTTTTTTGTTTTTTTTTTCCCATATAAGTCGCAGCTTTCCCATCCCTTTGTTGGGGCGCGTCCCCGTGTTTCCTATACGGCCTGGCTTTGTCGGAGCGCCTCGTGTTTCCCATCGCTTTGTCAACTCTAGAGAGAGAGAAGAGAGAGAAGAGATGATCAGAGAGAGAGAGAGAGAGTCTTTTGAGGTTTTGAGCTTTTGAGCTTTTGAGCATGGGTATCTAGGATTGAGGTGGGTTGAGATAACATGGAAATGGCAGCTGGCCACATGCATGTCGAGAGGAACGGGGAGAAACAGGTCGGGTGCGGAGGGGTGGCAGATGGCTGGGGAGGAGTCCTCTCTCTCTCTCTCTCTCTCTCTCTCTCTCTCTATCTATCTATCTATCTATCTATCTATCTATCTTGCGTGCACGCGTCAGGAAGCTGTCCGATCACCGCCACGTGGAAAGTAGGTAACACACATTTGCCACGTGGCTGATTTACACGTGGTCCCTATTGCTCTACCACGTGTTTCTCCCGTCCGTCCGTCTGGCTTCGCTCTTTTGGCGGGGGCTCGATCTGTTCACCTCCTCATCGGTACACGTGTGCGTGTGTGGGTTGATTACATCTGGCTTTTTCTGATTACCAATCGATGGGTTTTTGTCTAACCATGTTGATTGGTAATCAAGCGGGTCCATTGCACGTGGACCTATCGCCATTACTACCCTCCTTCACCCCACTAAAACGTTTTAGTGGGGTCATTATCTCTTGTGTCTAGACAGAGGTGAACCAATTACAATGCCACGTTGCCACATGGTTTTGACACGTGTCTTGCATCCCACGCGCCGAAGCGACTCCTAACGTACGGTCATTATCTTCTTCGCTCTTCTGTACACGGTGTCTTCTTTTTTATGCCGTCGATTGGTCGATTCCTTGATTGGTTCCATTTGATTGGGTGTCATCGAGTACTTCTGTAATACTGTAATTGGTATGATTCCATTGATTAGTCGGCTTGATTTCCTGATTGCAGTGACCGGATGTATATTCACTCGTTTCAGCCTGTGATTGGTTCCATTGATTGATTGGTTCCATTGATTGATTGGTTCCATTGATTGATTGCATCTGTCATCTGATCTAAGTTGTCGATTTGATATTTGTTCTTTCCCTTTTTGATTGCCGCCTTCTGAAATGGTACCTACACTCATATGTTCCCCAAAAAAAAAATCCCTCACCCCTCTCCTCGTCATCCCCTCCGTTCCCCCTTTCGGCTCCCCTCCGCCCTCCGCCCTCGGCATCCCTCCTTCCCCTTCCCCCCCCCCTCCTCTTCACCCCGTGCGGTCGCCCACTCCCTCTCCACCTTAAAAACATAAATTCAATCAATCAGTGATTCAATCAATCAACCAATCAATCAACCAACCGAATCGATAGATTGATTAATTGATTAATTTCCCCCCAGCCACCTCCCCGGCACTTCCTTCCCCGT